ACTAAGAAAGTTTAGAATTGAATACAATAAAGAACCACCTTCATAGGAACACTATTGCTAAATGGATGAAAAAATTTAAAGAGACAGGCTCCGTCCATGAGAAGCCACGGCCTGGAAGGCCACGTATCAGCGACGAAAGTGTTGCATCCATAAACTTAAATAAAATTTCAATAAAACCTTAAAAATATATAGATTTACTTCTTTCTAATCCTTTTTACAAATTATTTCTATCGCAAATACAAATAAAGTTATACATTTTGTTAAGTGCACACGAACTTTATGGACACCCTTTATATATATATATATATATATATATATATATATATATATATATATATATATATATATATATATGGCATGACTTGAGAAAACTACTTTCCTGAAAAATTGTTTTAAAAAAAACATTTTCTAAATTTTAAACAAGAGCATGTCTAGATGCTTGGTCAATGAATACTTGATTTTTCCTTATATGTGTATGTACGTGTATACGCGTGTGTGTGTATACGTGTGTGTGTGTGTGTGTGTGTATGTGTTATTTGGACTACTGATCCGCGCCTTGAACGTACTATTTACTTCGATTATTAAGGGCAGAATAATTTCCCGCCTCTGAGTGCATAAAATATTATCTAGCAACAACTAACAGTAATAAAAACGTTGCCTTTTTAAAAAAAAAAAAAAAAAGGCGTCTCAGTATTTTATTTTTAAATAAGTTTTAACTTCATGACAAAATAGCCAGAGTTTTTCAACGAGTGCTTGCCGATATTATCCCGGCTGACATTTTATCACGAAATACTTGTTTTTTTTTTTGTTGTTGTTGTTGTTGTTTTCTTTTCTTTTTAGATATTCCTTATCAATAGGCCTGTGATATATTTCAAACTGTCACTACCAACACACCTGTGACATCCTGCTTGCGTCCTAAGACGACGATTATATTCTGTATTTTGTGCGCACCTGTAATATCGTTCTTCGAAAAGTAATCAGCATACCTGCGTGAACGACTGGAAGAACAGCAGATTTTTGTTATCATTTTTACCTACCTCACTCAGTCCACTTGTATTAAATCTGATCAACACTATTTCATACATACATACATATATATATGGGGTGAACTCGATTGGTATATATATATATATATATATATATATATATATACGATAAACGTGCAATCAATTTACAAATACATGAATTATTCACACAAAAACTAATGCAAAGGTTAATGATTTAAATCATTAACCTTTGCATTAAATTAATATATATGTATATATATATATATAAATATATATATATATATATATATATATATATATATATATATATATATATATATATATATATATATATATATATATATATATATATATATATATATATATATATATATATATATATATATACCAACAATATTCTTAAAAGAGTCATTACAAACCAACAATTACTATTACAAAGTAGAGCAGATATAATTATTTTTTAAAAAAAAAAACTTTTATAACATAAATATGTTATATAATCAAAGTAAGCTTTCCATCTCATTCTTCTGATAAGGTTTTCAAGTAAGCTTTCCCTAGCGAAGGATCGTTAATTAGTTTGAAACTTTTAAAACCATTTATCTTATATTCAACATCATCACTTGATAAGACACCGAGGGTGTTGAAACAAAATGGCTATTTTGTAGTGATTTTTAACATATTTATGTTAAAAAAAATTTTTTATAAAAAATAATTATATATATGGGGCGAACTCGATATATATATATATATATATATATATATATATATATATATATAGAGAGAGAGAGAGAGAGAGAGAGAGAGAGAGAGAGAGAGAGAGAGAGAGTTCGCCCCATGTAAGGCTGTAAATCTACCAAGATACATGGGGGTGTTGAAGCATTTAAAACAAATTCGAGCCCGGATCGAAACCCAACCAATTTGATGTTAGTTGGAACTTCTACCACTGAGCCATTTTCACTCAATTCTGTGCGTTAGCCAAATCTAGTGTATTGTTTTTACAAACGCCAAGCAGCCAAAGTGCTCCATTCATTTGACTAAAGAGCTTCGCATTTACGCAGGTGACCTTTGTTTTTAGAATTAGCTTGTCGTTCAACAGTGCTCAATTGAAAATATATTTTCAAGAGCTAAATTATGTCAATCGCTGACAGTACTGTTTCGCTATATCAAACTCAGTACTTAGCTGTTACACGTGTTTCCAAGACTATAAACCTTCCTAGAGCCGAGTCACAACTTTAAACATGGTCTGTTTACTAGGAGAGGCGGGACTAGTATGTCATTGCCATACAAACAAAATGGGACGAGTAATTAATGTAAACAATAAATGGCGCCAGTATTTGAGGAACGCAGCGTGAATGTGTTGTTGTATGAGAATAACTTCGTTTTTTCTTGGAAATTTCTTTCCAATATTAGGGTGCGTCTTCCAAGCCACAGCGTCTTGTAAACCGGAAAATACAGTAATCTGTTCCTTAAACGGCCAATGCATGAAGGATAAT